CGAATGATGGTGAGTATGACCTACAGTTATCTGAAGCTTGCTAATTGCGTTCATATTTGCTAATACTTTTCGTTCTCAGGTCCCTGATGAAACGCGGCTCCGTGCTCTCCTTCTGCCTCCTGCACCAGCAATAAATGAACAAGACTTCTTACTTCCTGGTGACGAGGCCGCCGCTGGCGCTGCTCCTTTACCTGATAACGGGAACAACGACGCAGCGCCACATCCTCATCCTCCCGCTGCTGCTTTCCCAAATCCCCCTTCCAATCTTCCACAAGAAGCTGGCCACCGTCCTAACCCATTCACCGAAGGCACCCTCGGCCTCTTCGCAGTCCCTTTATATGTCCGTCTATCAGAATACGTGATGTATTCCGATGGGAACCCCGTTCCTTGTGCTAATGATACTGAAGATGGAAACGACGTCAACGAGGATGTGGATGTTGACTTTGACGATGCCGACAACGAAAACGACGATGAGAGCGAAAGGATTCATTCTCACAACAACAGTCGCCCAAGAGGTAGACATAGTATGAACCCGAGTAGCACGAACGTAGATCCCGACATTTTCGACCAAGGCGTCAAAGACGCCTGGTTTCCTCCCAATACTACCCTGTCTACCAGAGGTGATCGTGTCATTGCCTCCGTACCTTCTAGTTCTGGTACGATGAACGGCGCGGAATATGAGTATGTCGCTATCAATAGCGATATCTATATGGATGCTGAGGACAGTCTCAGCGCTAGCCCTTCCTCGTCTTCTCTTTCTTCGTCTGCTCCGGTTACGAATCTCACTCTAACACGAAAAATAGGCAGCGAAGCAGAAGCTCGGAGTAAACGCAAACCCGGGACATTTCACGATCGAGAGACATGTCCGGGGTGTGTAGCACGGGAGAGAGCACTATTAGCTGCGAGGAATGGGGCTCGAGTGGCAGAATCTTCGTCGGAAGAACCAACATCGTCAACTGGAAGATCCTCACAAGAAGAACCAACCGAAGACCTCCCACCATACGTTCCATCCGAACAAACCATCCCATCCTGTAATGGCATCCGCGATGTGTTGATCACAGGTAGTACCGATCCTCGACATGCTGAAGCTTGGGGTAATTGGGTATGGCGAGGCCGAGTGAGGAAGTGGGATGGCTTGGTTGGGTTGGTAAGGAGTGCGGATAGTGGGGTGGGTACAAATTTCTGTGAATCTGATAAACTTTTGCTCATCTTTTTTTTTTCATCTCATCTAGCCTACTGGATCTTCTCGAGGCAAAATCTTCTTCTATGGTACTCTCCTTGGAGGACGGAACCTTGTCGGGACGTGGCGTCAGGCAAATGAAGACCCGCGCATGCCTTCGTACGAAGGCGCGTTCACGCTGGGACGGAAGGAAGAGTGATCTGACGAAAAAAACTGAGAACCTGTTCTACCAGCCTCTAGATCAATCGTCGACCTTGTCGAATTCTTCTTGTGTCTTTTGCGTTCGTATTGTGCACGTCTTTCGTGTCATTCGCGAACATTTTGACGTCTACACCTCTTTATGTTTATGGTTGTGCAGTCTATGCTCTCCCAAATCCAGAATTGAAGGAGCACAAAACTATCTCTCTACAAAGAACATACGCGAAACCGAAAAATCTGTCGACTCCCAATAAGAATTCGAAAACCTCAATACAGATCTTCAGCTCTGGCGCAAATTTTACAGAATCTGCATTCTCCGTTCGCTACCTCGCTACCTCCTCGCCACCCCTGTTACACCCGCTATACCTGCTCATCGTTGTGTTCCCCTCGACCTCGCACAATTCTTTGATCTTTCATTGATTCCGCATCTTAAATCTTCCGTATCCTCTTCCCTTCTCGCTTTTTCCTTACCATTTCCAGGTTGTTCGTTTTTCCACACTTGCGCGTCGAATTGCGTTGACACTAGGTTTATTCCAACGGTTTTCCACAGCGTTCCCATTAGTATCATAATTGTCTTCAATACTCAGTGTTTCGATATAGTATTTTCGATAGTACTCCTGACATTCTCCATTGTATACTGTTTCTCGTACCGCATCTTGGACATTGGACTTCATTGGAATCAAGTATTGCACGTATTTATCATAATTCTTTCTCCTTTCGAAGGTATTTAATCATTTGTTTGAATATTGATTTACAACCACTCCCTCCTGTTCTCTGTGTTGTTTGTCATCGTTTTGTCTCAGCGTGTGCTTTTCACTATTCTTGTTGTAATATTTTGCGTCTGCATTGGGATTTTCCTTTACATATGCATTGATTCTACGATTGTATAATTCCCGACTTCCGATCTACCTTTCGACCTACCATCTATTTCCTTATCTACTAACGTACTTTCCCCCCCTGCCTGTGCTTTTTTGTATTTTCTGTTTCTCTGTGCGCGGTGTGTGTGTGTGTGTGTTGCGTTTAGTATTTGTTTTCTTGTACATTAGGCGCTTGTGCATCCAACTATGCGCATGCCGTATCTCTTTGGGGATTTAAGGGAGTGTCGGTGATCATCTACAGCGTGAATGAAAGTGAATACTAAAAGAACTGTATCTTGTCCTCCGAAGCACCTCTTGAAACTGTCGAGTGGGGAAGAACCTGTCAAAATAAAAATAGACCTGTTGCTCAGGTTCTAGCAATATCGTTCGTCGCATTGTGCATTGTGTCTGGCTCCGAGAGACTAAGCTCTGACCAAGTTGGCTTTTCTTCAAGTTGACGACAACCTTCAAAAATTAAATGACTTCGAATTTTCAGCCATAGCTGATAGTAGGCCATATTAGTACACACAACGCTCTGACCATCTGATGCTATTGTATTTGTTGATAGTTCGAGTACTTACCACTTTTAACCAGCGCCTGCACTCAGAAATTGTCTCAAAGAGTTTTTGCGAGCGCGTGGAGCAGGTGGGGAAAGACACTTCCAATGGGATCGTAATGTGTCAGGTGACCGCGACGAAAGTCCCTGAGTATTTACCCTCAGTTTATCTTCTTTTCTCCCAAGCGATACCAATGCTCCGCAACACTCCCGCTCGTTGCCGGCTCCTACTCAGAAGACACCTACCGGTCATTCCAATTGCTCATATAAACTTTACTAACACTCGATATAATGCAAGCCAGGCTTCGGCCGAAGCATTATCAGGAATTCCTCCCCCACTCGCAGGAATTAAGATTGTCGATCTTACCCGTGTTCTGGCCGGACCAACTGCGACGATGTTGCTGGCCGATCTAGGGGCGGACGTTGTTAAGATTGAGCATGTAGGAAGGGGTGATGATACTCGTAAGTTATGCTGTGTTTCTGTTGTGATTAACTAATGGATCATTTCTTGCAGGATCATGGAATCCTCCCTCAGCACCTCTCCGACCTCAATTGTCCTCATATGAATCTTTAACCGAACGCGCTCATTCTCTCCCTCCTGAATCTGCATATTTCTTATCTTCAAACAGAAACAAACGCTCGATAACGGTCAATTTCAAAGATCCCACAGGCTTGGAGATTGTGTATAAGCTCATTGAACAAGCAGATGTTCTAGTAGAGAATTACATCCCTGGAAAGCTCGCGAAGCTGGGTCTTGGATGGGAGCAGTGCCATAAAATTAACCCGAGATTGATCTACGCTAGTATAACAGGTCCGAAAGTCGATGTTCCCATACCATCTGTCTTAGTAGCTGAGGGCGTCTATAGGCTATGGACAGACTGGACCGTACCGTCAACATGCTGGCTACGACGTAATCGTGGAGGGTGAAGCAGGTCTGATGCACATAACCGGCGAACCCTATCCTGCCAAACCTGTCAAGGTTTGAATCCCTCCAATACTACGTGATTGTCGAGCGCTAACCTCCTTGTACATTGGCAGGTTGGCGTAGCTGCAACTGATGTTGCCACAGGCCTATACACCCACGGAGCCGTCATGGCTGCATTAATAGGAAGACAGAAGACAGGAAAAGGGTGCTGGATCGATTGTAACCTGTTCGAGACACAAGTTGCCGGGCTGGCAAACATCGCTTCCAACTATCTGATTGCAGGCCAAGAAGCGCAGAGGTTTGGCACAGCGCATCCGAGTGTTGTGCCGTATCAGGTTTACATCTGTCGTCTTAACTGGCCATATCTGTGACTTCTGATCTTTCTGTTGCCAGGTATTTTCGTGTAAAGCCCCCGATGGTCAAGAAGGCGACGATTTTATCATGATCGGTGCAGGGAATGATAATCAAGCGAGTGCCGATTCCTGCGGGGCCCTGTTATGTCTGCAGCTGACAACTAGCTTTCACACTTTCAGTTCAATACCCTATGCACTCTGGTCCTTCCTCTTCCCACCCTACCCTCGGATCCACGGTTCTCGACAAATGCTCTCAGAGTAGCTAATCGCAACGAACTGATCTACATACTCGAAACCGAATTCAAGAAGTGCGTCGTTCAACTAATCCTCATTCGTTCTCACCATGTTACTGATATCGCGTTCTCTTTGCCCTGTTTCATCCACATCCATGCCGTGCCTTCTTGTCTTTCTCCTTGCTTCGTTTTAGGGAGACCAAGGTTCACTGGCTAAGCAAATTTAGAGCAGCTACCAAAGCAGGCAAAGGTGTCCCTCACGGCCCTATCAATAACATCAAGGAGACTTTCGAGCACGAGCAAGCTATTGCGAGGAAAGTGACTGTTGAGATTGAGGTGACTTTTCCGCGTTACTATCTGAATGGAATTAACGTGGACTGATTCTAATTTTTTCCTCGCTAGCATCCCCGCGCAGGCCCAATCAAGCTGGTTGCTCCGGCTGTATCTTACAACGGAAAGAAGATGCCTGTGAGGAGGCATCCGCCGTGGCTGGGCGAACATAGCGATGAGGTAGGCACATGTTTCTCTTGACTGTGGGCATTGTTGACAGTTGAGTAGATTCTCAATGATCTTGGGTACTCTACTACTCAGGTGGAAGAGCTTCGTGCTAAGGGTGTAATTTAACTATCCAACTCCAGCTTGAGGAGGAAGCCGATAACCAACTGGATACAGTTGAATAGATCAAGAAAATCATGATCGGCCTGATGGTCTAGGAGTATGATTCGTTGTTAGGGACTTCTGTGTCTTTCGACGAGGTCCCGGGTTCAATTCCCGGTCAGGCCCATCCAGTGCTTACAGTTCACTTTTGTTTTTCTACAGCTGACCGAACATCTTCTTTCCCTCTCCATGTTGTGCCTAGTATATCAGTCTTGACTCGGTAATAACGAGTTTCGACGCTTTCACTTGATCCGCAACTGTTGGTATCAACACATGTAAAGTGAAAGTTGTACAATACTTAGTCCACACGCCTGGGATGGCCTTGAACATGAACAAAGAGTTTATCCGTATTGATCAGCAAACAAATAACCTGTTCAACGACATAAACGCCGTGACTAAGTGGCGCGTTCGCAACAAATGACCAGGTATTATTTTAGGTAGTGAGGAAATAAACTGGGCAGAAGGAGAGAGTCATGAGGTTCAGAATCACATACACTGAAAATACCGATGCTGTACAATCTGAATGTTGATAAGCCGGTTACTTGAGCACCAATTCCGAGTGCCGTTGTATCGAGAGTCGTCGTCTCTGTCAACCACCCACTGAAACTACCCAGATTACCAGCAGAGATGGTGGTATAACCAGAATTGCGTTCACAGTGTCGCAAAGCCGACTGCCTTGCGTTACACGAGCATGGATGGGTGGAGAATACTAGACGCGTGGTAGTAGGGACTGGTAGCTTAAATAAGTAGATGCCGGATTCAGGGTCAGTAGCAAGCATTAGGAGGAGAGGAGAGAGCCTATGTGGTATATAGGAGTGTGATAGGAGTGTATGATAGCTGTTGAATATCATACTGGGTCAGAGGAATGGAATGCATTCAAGTGTTTAACAGATAGCAGGGAGATATGCACCTTTCAAAACCTTTGAAAACAGAACACGGCTTCTAAAAGATTATATTCCATATTAATATCTCAGTTGAAAGTGAGCTCATCAACCCCAGACGAGGATAAATATTAGTTACAGCAACGGCTAGAATTAAATCAGACGGATGGCTGAAATGATATACGACAAAAAGGCGACCACCAGACAGTCATTGATAGGATGCAAAAGGCATTGCATAAACTGGCCGTAGAGCTTTCTTGAGCATGAATTGAGAGAAAGTAAGTAGTGACTGGCAGAACTTTCAACTCGAAGCCCAAAAGTTCCTGAGTTCGGAAATAATCGGTGCCAATCCCGAAAACTCTTTGATCAGTGACCATCATCATACCGTAGCTCAGTCTACGTCTCCTTAGGTCTCCTTCTATTCAATGCTGTCGAAGCAAGTCTTGCGACGACTACCTCCACGGTCGACGGCCGCCGTCGCGGCTAGGGCACAACAATCCGTTACTCCTCGTCGACGTGACCTGGCAACTCCTGCGGCCAATCCACCGTCACCGAATGACATTTTCGCTAATGGTACCAATGCTTATTATGCAGAAGAAATGTACAGACACTGGAGGCAGGACCCCAGTTCTGTACATGCTTCCTGGGACGCCTACTTCAAAGGACTAGACAAGGGTTTACCTAGCTCAGTAGCTTTCCAGCCACCACCCAGCCTCGTTGCACCTCCTACTGACGGTGCTCCAGCTTTGCATGCCAGCGCCGGTGGTGCCGAACTCGACGATCATCTCAAAGTCAGTCGCTGAAAGCTTGTTTAAAAAGCAGAAATCACTCAGCTCTATCCGTTTTACTCCGCAGATTCAACTTCTCGTCCGTGCATACCAAGTTCGCGGACATCATGTGGCTGAACTTGACCCTCTCGGTATCCTTGACGCAGACCTCGCCAACATTCAACCTCCAGAGCTTGAGCTCAGTCGATATGGCTTCACTGAACGTGACTTGGACAAGGAAATCACCCTTGGTCCGGGTATTCTACCTCATTTCGCTACGGAAGACCGAAAGACGATGAAGTTGGGTGAAATCATTAAACTGTGCAAACGTATCTATTGTGAGTGCAAAACGCATCTTTCTTCCGAGTTTCTCTCAATAGTTTCTCAGGCGGTGCTGTCGGTATTCAGTACATTCACATCCCCGACAAAGACCAGTGTGACTGGATCCGTGAACGTGTCGAGATTCCTAAACCCTGGAATTACACTGTTGACGAAAAACGCATGATCCTTGACCGTCTTATCTGGTCTGAATCCTTTGAAAAGTTCATTGCTTCGAAATATCCCAACGAGAAGCGTTTTGGCCTCGAAGGATGTGAAGCTCTCATTCCCGGCATGAAATCTCTTATTGACCGTTCCGTCGAGCATGGCGTCTCAAATATCACCCTGGGTATGCCACATCGAGGTCGGCTCAATGTTCTCGCGAACGTCATCAGAAAACCTATTGAAGCTATTTTAAATGAATTCAGCGGAGCAGAAGGCGATGAACCCGCTGGAGACGTCAAATATCATCTCGGTGCTAATTATGTTCGTCCTACACCTTCTGGGAAGAAGGTCGCGCTCTCTCTCGTCGCAAACCCCTCTCATCTCGAAGCCGAAGATCCTGTCGTTCTCGGAAAGACGCGTGCTATACAACACTTCGAGAAGGATGAAAAGACACATAATACTGCCATGGGTGTTTTGCTTCATGGTGATGCTGCGTTTGCTGGTCAGGGGATTGTTTACGAGACAATGGGCATGCATAACCTTCCCAACTACGGTACTGGAGGAACTATTCATCTCATCGTCAACAACCAGGTCGGTTTCACCACCGACCCTCGTTTCGCCCGGTCTACACCTTACCCTTCGGACATTGCCAAATCCATTGATGCTCCCATTTTTCACGTCAACGGAGATAACGTCGAAGCAGTGACATTCGTATGCCAGCTCGCCGCGGATTACAGGGCAAAGTACAAGAAAGACGTTGTCATCGACATCGTCTGCTACCGGCGCTATGGACACAATGAGACTGACCAACCGATGTTCACACAGCCTAGAATGTACAAAGCCATCGAGAAACAGCCTACCACTCTTACTCAGTACTCCAAATTCCTGGTTGGAAGAGGTACTTTCACCGAGAAGGACATCGAAGAGCATAAGAAATGGGTATGGGGCATGCTCGAGAAGGCTGCTGCTGGCGCAAAGGACTACGTGCCTACATCGAAGGAGTGGCTTTCCGCATCCTGGCAGGGATTCCCTTCGCCCAAACAGCTCGCAGACCAAACACTCCCTACGCGCGCTACCGGTTCCGACGAAGCTACTCTCCAACGTATCGGTCGTGCTATCTCTACCTACCCCAATAGTTTCACCGTTCACCGAAACCTCGGCCGTATCCTTCAGACCCGCGGCAAGACAATCGAAGAAGGCAAGAACATCGACTGGTCCACAGCTGAAGCTCTCGCATTTGGCGCTCTCGCCCTCGAAAATATTCACGTTCGTGTCTCCGGGCAGGATGTCGAGCGTGGTACCTTCTCTCAACGTCATGCGGTCCTCCACGACCAGGGAAACGAAAAGCAATATGTCCCTCTCAATGATCTTGGTTCATCACAAGCTCGTTTTATTATCTGCAATTCCTCCTTATCTGAATACGGCACACTTGGATTTGAACTTGGATACTCTCTCGTCTCACCTGATTGTTTGACGATGTGGGAAGCTCAATTTGGTGACTTTGCTAATAACGCACAGTGTATCATCGACCAATTCATTGCTAGTGGTGAGAGGAAATGGTTGCAGAGATCTGGGCTTGTTATGAGTTTGCCGCACGGTTATGATGGACAGGGTCCTGAACACTCTAGTGCCAGGCTCGAGAGGTTCTTGCAACTTTGTGATGATCATCCCAATGTGTTCCCTAGTCAAGAGAAGATTGAGAGGCAGCATCAAGACTGTAACATGCAGGTTGTTTACCCTACTACTCCGGCTAACTACGTGAGATTGCTTGTCTTATTTTCTTTGCGTCGACTAATAATTGGTGCATTTATCTTTACCAGTTCCACGTCCTCCGTCGTCAAATTCACCGTGACTTCCGCAAGCCTCTCATCATTTTCTTCTCTAAGAATCTCCTCCGTCACCCGAAAGCACGGTCTGATCTCTCTGAAATGATCGGGGAGACTCACTTCCAGAGGTACCTACCTGAACCTCACACTGAAGATCTCGTTGCGCCAGAGGAGATCAAGCGGCATGTTTTGTGTAGTGGTCAGTTGATAACACTTCTCGAAAGACAGACTCTTTGCTAATTTGTCGAACAGGGCAAGTTTACCACACTCTTCTTGCTGCTAGGGAGGAGAGAGGTATCAAAGATATTGCGATTAGTAGGATTGAACAGATTTCGCCCTTCCCCTATGACATGGTATGTTCTTCGATTTTCAAATTCCATTCAAAGCTTATATGATACCCGTAAGATTACACCTCATCTCGACAAGTACCCCAACGCCGGACTACTTTGGTGCCAGGAGGAACCATTAAACAATGGCGCGTGGAGTTATGTTGGACCTCGTATCTACACCGCCGCACAACAGACCGAGAACCATAAGGGCAAGTATCCGAGGTATGCCGGAAGAGATCCCACTAGTTCCATCGCTACTGGATCGAAGGTTTGTTTCCCGAGTCTTTACTACTCAATACGAGCTGATTGTATTCTCGTTATTTTTGTTTTAGGCCCAACACAAGAAGGAGATAGAAATGTTCCTCGATGCAGCTTTTGATCTCACTTCGTAGTTGATGCACCCTATGTAAGACAAGGAAGATAGGAAAGCTATTCGTAAGTTGAGCGATGGACATCTAATTCCCTCCGCTTCCATCTGTGGTCACCGAATCACCGTAGTCTTCTTCTATGATATATTCCACCAGTCCAAATCGCATACTTATTTTTACATGACATTGCTTCGTTTTGCGCATGTCTGAGTTGTTAAGCTTCCCAGTACGACAACATGTATAGTCTACTTTTAATTTCTGGATCAATTGCTAAGCTAAATGTTGTATACCGGAAGTAGGATCCCGGCTCCAACATCGGGCTTCAGCGCAGCCGGAGTGGGCTGACAGTGGATGCGCAGTAATCCACACTACTTCACCATTATTTTAGAACCGTACAATGGCATCATCGATAGTCAATTCGTTCGAATCTTTATCCCAGGCATTCTCGCTCTGACACCTCTTCCACTGTGCA